TTTTTTTTTAAACTATAGTCCGCCCCTCCAACGGTCTGAGGGACAGTGAACTGGCCCCCTGTTTTAAAAGTTTGAGGACCTCTGCACAGGAACAAAGGTGAGTCCTGAGGTCAGCCATGCCTCAGGTGTGGAACTCAGCTCTCTGAGTTTGTTTCCTAGTGGGGACATTAGTTGCATTTACCACACTGAGTTGCTGTGAGTACATAGTGCTGTGAGTACATGACATCGTGCTCATGCGTATGAGGAGTACATGGTACTGTGCTCACATGTACAAAGAGTACACAATATCGTGCTCATGTGTATGAGTACATGATACCGTGCTCATGTGTACAAGGAGAATGTAATGCCATGCTCATCCGTATGAGGAGTACACGAAACAGTGCTCATGTGTATAAGGAGTACATGATACCGTGCTCACATGTATGAGGAGTACACAATACCATGCTCATGTGTACAAGCAGTATGCAATGCCATGCTCACCCATACAAGGAGTACATGATACCGTGCTCATGTGTACAAGGAGAATGCAATGCCATGCTCACACGTACAAGGAATACACAGTACCATGTTCATGTGTATAACTAGTATGCAATGCCATGCTCACACATACGAGGAGTACATGGTACTGTGCTCATGTATATGAGGAGCACATGATACCATGTTCATGTGTACAAGGCAAGGAACATGCAATGCCATGCTCACATGCATGAGGAGTACTTGGTCCCATGCTCACATGTATGAGGAATACACAATACTGTGCTCATGCTCATGTGTACGAGGAGTACATGATACCGTGTACAAGGAGTATGCAATGCCATGCTCATACATACGAGGAGTACATGGCACTGTGCTCATGTGTATGAGGAGTACATGATACTATACTGATGTGTATGAGTATGCATTGCTGTACTCACACATATGAGGAGTACACGATACCATGCTCACGTGTACAAGGAGTATGCAATGCCATGCTCACCTGCACGAAGAGTACACAATACTGTACCCACATGTATGACTATGCAATGCCACGCTCACACATACAGAGTATGTGATACCATGCTTGCTTATATAAGCTCATGTGTACGAGGAATATGCATTGCCATGGTCACATTTATGAGGAGTATGTAATTCCGTGGTCACACATATGAGGGGTATGCAATGCCGTGCTCACACGTGGGAGGAGTATGCCTCATAAGCAACGCCTGTATATGTTCCTATCACTCTGGTGTGAGCATACATAGACAGCCACTGTTTCATAAGCACCTACTACATACAAGACATTTTGTAGTCACTGACTTTCAGAACGTCTGTGAGTTCACATATTACAATATGAATGAACACGAGTGACAGGTGAGTCACATATGCAGGTGAGCATCCCTCATCTGAAGGTGTGTACCCCACATGCCGGTGGCAGAGCAGGGCGAGGCACTGGCTGGGCTGAAGCCAGGCCCGTCCTCCTCCGGCTTCACTCCCCCTGTCAGGCCCACAGGTGCACGTGCCCCTCTGCCTCTGTGGGTCGGGCAAAGAAAGCCCTGGCGCTGCCTGCTCTGAGCCACAGGGACTGGGTCGGGCTGGGCTCCTGGGTGCCGGGTGGGTGGGGTCTGTGGGCCAGAGTGTGGGGGCCATGAGTTCAGCCACAGAGGCCCCTTGTGAGCCGGCACAGAGGCCCATTGAGAGTCCCCCGCCCCAGGCCCTGGCCTCAGCCCCAGGCCCAGCGCAGGCGAGGAGGCCGGGCCTCTGCCCAGGAATGTGCCCGCTCCCTGGGGAGGGGACTGGAGCTCCACAAAGCCCCTTTCTACTAGGGTCTGGGAAGGGTATGGGCCCTCCAGTCTGACCCCACCCCCGTTCCTTCTCCCAGGGGCAGGTCAGGGCAAGCACCCTCTGACTCCCACCCTGCGACTGGTGCCTGAGGACTGGGGCAGAAGATGAAGCTGCATCTGTTTCAGGAACCAGCCCTAAAGCCGAGGGCACTGTAGCAGCCAGAGGGGGAGAGGCTACGTGGGATGGGGCGCTCTCTGGGGGCCTGTGTTGGCCAGTCCTCTCCCTCCTTCAGCCCCTGTCTGGAGAGCTCCCTTGGAGCCAGACGCCGGAGGGGAGGGAGACTCAGAGCTGCCTTGCACTAGAGATAGTGGAGGCTACCCCTAGCCCCGGAGCAGGCTACCCCATCAGCTCCCCATGCCCTTCCCTGCTCAAGAGGACTCCCCTCACACACACCCAGATCTTGGCTAGGCCCCTGATCAGCCTGGGGCCCTAGACTTCAGGGCCTTTTCCCCTTGGGGCTGCTGTACCCATCCCTGCCCTACCTGCTCCCTGTGGAAAGAAGACCAGGGTCCCAGCCCACTGTGCTCATATCTGGGAGCCCAATGACACCTGGCTGTGTCCTGGGCAGGGGGAGGGAGAAGGTGAAGCCAGCTGGACAGGGCTGAGGCTGGTCTGGCCTCCTGTGCAGCTCACAGCAGAGTGCAGGTTGGGAATAAGAGGGAAAACAGAGGCCACAGGAAGAACCAGAGAGAGGACAGGGAGGGAGACAGGGAGACACCTGGCCGGGGCCCAGCCACTTACTGAGAGGAGACTCCTCATCGGGCCTTGGACCCATCATGCCAGCCATGGGAGGGTGACCCAGGGGCGGCCCCAAGCCTGCAGAGTGGAGAAGGGAAGGAGACAGGACAGGACAGAGACAGCAAGGGAGATGGAGAGAACCAGAGAGAGGCAGAGACATCGAGAGACAGAGACATGGGAAGAAAGAGGGGAGAGATGGGAAGAAAGAGGGGAGAGATGAGAAAGAAAAGCAGAGAAAAGGGCAGAGGGGAAAGAGAGAAAGATGGAGAGACACAGAGGCAGAGATGATGAGCCAGAGAAGGGGAGGGAAAGGACAGAACCAAACGGAGGGAGGAGGCAGATCCAGGCACAGAAAAAGTGGGAGAGCGAGCCCAGGGCAGGGGAGGACACAGACAGGAGTCAGTATGACACACACAGGAGAGGGGAAGACAGAGAGAGATGGGTCAGAAGATGGAAAGAACCGAGGGAGGAGAGGCGGGAAGGGGTCCCAGGGAGGGAGTGGCAGAGCCAGGGCAAACAGGGAGGGGATTTGATCCAGCCATGCTTGAGGGAAGAGGACAGGGGAAGCATCATCTCAGGGTCTGGCGTCCAGGGTCTGGGGTTGGGCCAGGCCCAGGCAGGGGCCACAGCCCGGGAATGGCTACAACAAGGGCAGGGAGGGCACTGCTCTTGGGCAAGGCTGAAGGGGCACATTGTGACCCTGGAAACTGGGGAGACACACCTGCTGCCTCCTGGGCTGAGATTCAGCCCAGCTGCCTGGACCTGCCCCAAGGGTGGTGGCTGGCGCCAGGGTTTTGGCCTGGAGGCCTCTTCCCACTCCCAAGGAAAGGCCCCCACCCTGGTCTTGGGCCCTCCCTAGCGGCCATTCCCTGTTCCCCATCCCTTACCCCTCTGGCCTCTCTTTCCCTCACAGCTGCTTCTCAGGGAGGGTAGACGGAGAGCACTCTGCCACAGTGGGTAGTCCCACCGAAGGGCTGTGGATGTTTCCGAATGGACAGGGTGGACTAGATTGGGTCTCAGTGGGCAGCTCCCAGGGATGCATCAGCATAGGCTATTCTTGGACGTGGTGCAGGTGTGGGGGGCCCACCTGATGTTCCCAGCCCTGGCCCCACCTGGCTCCCAGGCATCCTGCGGCCCTGCTGAGACTACCACGCAAAAAAGCTTCAGGCAGAGCCCAGGTCTAAGCATTGGGAGATCATGGTTAGGACCAGGTTGCCCTGGGACCAACCTTCCTGTCTGCACTGGCCCCTCCGGCATTTGGATACCCCTGATATGCCAGCTGAAGGGAGGTGGCCCTGCCCTGAAGAGGCAGGACAGACTTGCCCAAGGCCTGCTGGCGCGGGCAGCACTGGACACCACAGGGCTACCCAGTGGTCAGTCTGAGCTCAGCACCACTCCATCCTGGGTCCTGATCAGAGTGTCTTAGGAGCCGCCTCCCAGGGAGGGCCAGGGGAGCAACGTGGAGTTGCTAGGCCTTGTCCCAGGACAGTTCCTTCCCTACCCAGAATCCAAGAGCAGAAGGAAGGGGACTCCAAGCTCCCACACCAGCGCAGGGCCAGTTGGAGTGCCAGAGGGTGGGCAGCTGCAGGAAGCCACTGCCTTTCCCTCCACAGAGCCTAGTTCTCCTGCCCCACACTGGGAAGCCTTGGCCTACCAGCAGGTGACCCACTACCCTAGGGCAGGCCTCTCTCCCACATCTAGGATGAGGCTCACTCTGGCCTGCCTGAATGCCCTCTTCTACAGAGCCCCTCTGTTCCGCTCATCTCTGCCTGGGGTCCCTGGCCCTCTACCCCCAGGGGGGACTCTGGGGAAGTACCCGACAGCTGCCCCGGGAGGTGGGACTCTCACTTTGAAGCCTGAGGGGCTGGTTGGCTTTCAATCCTCATCAGAACTGGGCTTTTCCTGCCCGACTCCCTGAGCCTGTGGCTGTGGCAGAGGTGAGCACAGGACCTGGCCATCCCCTGCCTTGCGGGGACCTGCCAACCAGTCCACAGGGCTGTCACTCAGCAGGTGGGAGACCACCCCCACTGGTCCTTGTAGGAGATGGGGCCTCTGTGACTGGGAGACCTGCTCTGGAGCTTTCTGGGGAGGTAGGCTGGGGACCCGTGGAATGCCCTCAGCAACTCACCCATTTGGAAGTCACCGCTGCCCAGGTCCCCGCTGCCCGGGCCATCTGCAAGCCAAAAAGAGACATATTTAGCAACGGCGAATACTGGCTGAGTACCTGCTGAGTGTGAGGTACTGCTCTGGGCACCTGCCACCCAGAAGGAGAGGGTCATGGACACACAGGACAGGTCCCCTCCTCCCCCACACCTAGGAAACCTAGCCTGGAAAAGTCAGCTTGGACACCTCCATCAAAGAGGGTGTGGGCTGAGACCCCAAACTCCAGGAACTCAATGATCTGCCCCATGGCTGGGGTGGGAGGGGTCAGGTCAGAGTGGCCTTCGGGAGGTACACGGAGGAGGTGAAGTGGAGTGAGGGTCATCGTCCTGCACTGCGCCTTGCCAGTCACCTTCCCAGTGGGTCCGGATCACCCCAGGCTGCAGAGAGGGGAGTGACCGGCCCAGGGTCACACAGGTTAGGAGTGGAGGATGCTGGGGTTGCTGAAACTAGGGCTCAGGACACACACAGCCCATCTCCTGAGGCGCCAACTTGGGTGACCTTCATGGGACCTCTTTGAGGACCAGTGGGAAGAGCCATGATTTCACCCCCCATCCCCTCCAGTCACAGGGACGTGGCTCACCTCCGGAGGCATCATCGGCCAGCAAGTCCTCGTCGTCGGAAAGGTATGAATAGCTCCAGCCAACCCGGCCTGCTGTGACAGTCTCGGTGTCCTCAGGCAGAGACAAGCCGTCATATGCTCTGAGCCCATGGGATACCTGCGGGGGACGATGGAAGCACTGGGTCATGCTCTTCAGCTCCCAAGCCCCAGGGCCCTTTCCCTCACTTCAAGGGGGACCAGAGTCCCACCCCAAAGCCCCCAGTGGTTAAACCAGACTGTTTGACTAAGAGCCAGGCTGGGGCTAAGCCCCTATGTTTTGCTCAGTTTCCCCAAGTTCCATTAGCCCCTGGAGGCCTCAGAACCAATTCTGAATGAATCCTCAAATAAAGCAGACAATCTTTTTCTTTGGAGGAATCAAGGAACACCAGGACACAAATGAGTAGACAGGGGACACAGGCAGGTAAAGGGGAACCTGGGCCTGAAAGATGGGGGACACGGGCAGGTGGAAGGGTGGCCAGGGCCAGCATGGATGGGACACAGGCAGAAGTCGAGGTGAGCCCATCACAGCTGTTTCCCCCCATGGTGGCTCCCCCAGGCCATTTTGGCCTCCACTTCCTGCCTCACTCTGGCCTCCTCTCGCCAGGCTGTAGGGACATGCTCCGTGGGCTAGAGAATGAGCTCTGACACTTGTGGCCACATCGACAGGCTCATCCCTGTGCCCAGCAGTGGCGGTGGAGCCCAGCAGCTGAATGAGGACAGGCATAGTGCCAGCTCCACACGACCTCAGGCACAAGCTCCACCCCGGGCCCTGCACCACGTGGCCAGAGCAGAGGGCTATCACGCCTGCCTTCTTAGGTGTGGGCCTGGGAGAGGGCATGCCTCTCTCCCCCTAGAAAAGATCGAGATGTTTCCAAAGGAGTTTTCCAGGGTAACATAGAGGAAAACGAACCCAGCGGAGCCCAAGGGAACCCAGAGCCCACACTCCCAAGCACGCACAAACCTGGGTGGCCGGGGGTGAGGGTCCCAGGCCCTGCCTTGGCCTTAGCCAGAAGGCAATCTTCTCGCTTTCAAAAGCCAGACCCACAGGGGCTAGAAAAGGCAGCAAGGCCCAAGCAGGAGTGAGGTCCGAGAAGAAGCGCGTCCCAAGCAGGAGTGTGACCCACGTGGGAGCGAGACCCAAGCAGGAGAAAAAGTCAAGAGCCAGTCAGGTCCCCTTCCCTCCGCATCCCCTAGTTCCACACAGCCCATGTCCCTCGCACCTCTGGCTTTTCTCACGCTGGTACCTCTGCTGGAATGCCCTTCCTCCCTTTATCTATCAAGCAAACTCCCATTCATCCTCCAAAATTCAGTTTTAACATCACCTACTCTGTCCACTCACTAATAATGAGGAACAAATGACGCACGGCACGAATCTGAAAAAGCCAGACACAAAACACTACATCCTCTACGATTCCATTTATAGGGAGCTTGAGGAGGGAAAGTCTTATCTACGGTGACAGGAAGATCAGTAGTCACCTGGGACCAGGGGTAGGCTGGGGGTGACCAGGAGGGGGCACGAGGGAACTTTCTGGGGTGGCGGTTCCTGGGTGTACATGTCTCATTCTCACTAGTGAAATGTACACTGAAAATGGGCACCTTATATTGTATGGATTTATGCCTCAGTAAGGATGACGAGAAGGAAAATGTCCTTCTCTGTCCTGATGTCTTGCTTGCATGGTCACCAGCCCCCCGGCCAGGTTCTGGGCCTTCCTGGGCTCACACTGCTACTGTCTCTACCTCCCCTGGATTGGAAGCTCCTTGAAGGCAGGGGTTGTGGTGAATTCAGCTCTACCTTCTCTGCAGTCTGTTTTCAATAAATACTTGAATGAATGAGTGAATGAGTGAATGGACAAGAATGCCTATGAATTCCACCTGCTTCCTGAAGGTGACCTGCTTTGGAGGTGCCACCTACCCCTTGCAACCTTTATGCTCTTCCTCTCCTAGGCTGAACGCCCTGGAGGTGGGGCTGGATGCCATTTGCTCATCTTAGTGTATGGGTTGCCACCAAGCCTCGGGTAAGGTCTGAACTGCCCACATCTTATTCCTGCTGTGGCCTAATGCCCATTCCCCCACAATCTGCGGGCAAGCGTTGCCTCCTGTTCCTTCTCCCCTCCCCACCCTTTCCCTCTGCACAAGTGCCCAGCACTGGCCAGTGGACTTTCAGGCCATGCCCTTGAAGGTCTGTATCCAGGAGTGTGCTTTGGAACTTCCAGGAGCTGAGGAGAAATACAGATTTCTGAGCCCCTTCTCAGAGCCACTGAGTCAGGGTCTCCCATCCCAGGAAGATAGGTACAGTTGTGCATGCCCAAGGGGATTCTGACAGACACCAACCAGTGCCTTACCCAGGGCTCTGCCCTCTTCCCTGGGTGAGGACAGGGCAATGTTCCCATTGGCTGGAGTAGGCCCTGACTGACCCAAGGTGGGTATGAAGTTAGGGCTGGTCCGGGGGCAGTGACTCTGGGTAGAGGAGGTTTGAGGGGACTGCCTTGGGACCTCCCCACCTGGGAGAACTCTCCACGTCACTGCCACCCCCCACTCCCATGCAACTGAGGCAACGGAGGGCGTCATGCACAGGCACAGAGAGTCCTGATAGACCCTAGCTACTGCTGTCTGGAAAATAACCCAGGGGGTGAGCAGTGAGCAAGAACCAGAGCTTTCCCAGGGAGGGAGGAGCGGTGGGGAGCCCTGGGACCCGACAGGAAATAGCAGAGCGAGATTCAACATGGAAAACATGCCAGAAACACACATCTGCGGTGAGAGGGGGAGAGACGCCAGATCACACCGGGGCCTGGACAGAAGCCCCCCACCATAGGGACCCCCCCAGGGAATGGACCGTTCTACATGCCAGCCTGCCCCCGCTTTAGCCCCCACCCCAGGGTTGGCAGATCTGCACCCCAGTGACTGCAGATCCAGGGTCAGATCAGGCCCCCGGCAAGAAGTCAGCAAGAGCTGAGCCTTCATTTGTAAAAACTGGGGATCCAAAGGTCCTGGCAGCTGTCTTTCACATCTGGGAGGGAGCTGGAGCCAGGAGGGAAGAGGATCCCAGAAAGAGCCCAAGGGAGCTGAGACTTGGCCACAGAAAGGATCCTGGATCCAGGCTGCAGAGTCTAGGATCCATTTGGGGAATAATAAGAGCTTGTGTTTATTGAACACATACTACATACCAGGCATGCCTAAGCCGGTTATAGGGTTAAAGAATCCCGCTGTGAAGAGTGGCAAATGGAGTGAGTCAGGTTACCTGCTGGAAGCTGGCCTGTAGCAGGGCTGGACTGGAACCCTGGTGGTCGGGCCCCAATGCCTAGGCATTCCGTGCAGCACAAAGCCTCTCAACCACACTGTGCCTCAGTTTACAAAGCACTTCCTCAGCCTGGTGTCCCCTGAGCTAGTGACCCTCTGAAGTGGTTGAGTAGGTATGAATGGCTCCCTTTCATAGAGGAGAAACTGAGGTCTGCAGAGACATGACTATGTCCAGATCACAGGTAAGGGTCTGGCACCCCACCCCTAGCTCTCTGCTCAAAAGGAAAGGAGGCAGGGCTGGGGCTGGACTTCCAGGCTGGCCGTGATGCCCAAGCAGAGGGCTGTCTGGGAAGCCCAGGGTGGGCCAGGCCCGTCCCCAACCTGTCCAGCTCCCAGGATAGCCCCAAGGAGCGCTCCAGTTGGCAGCAGTCTGGGCCTATGCAGCGTGCGCCTCAGGTCCCAAGGAGGGCCATTAGCAGCTCCAAGGTCAGAGGCAGAAATAGAGCCCAGGCTTCCTGCCCTCCAGCCCGTCTCCGGCGTGAGGGAGCCCGGCTTCCTCCCAGAGGAACTCAGCACTTCAGGCGGGCGCTGGAGCCAGATGGCGGGCTGGAGAGGAGGGGTCTGGGGGGCAGACCTGGGCCAGAGAGGAAGGAGCCGGCAGAGAGGGGGATTTTCCAGACCCTGCAGTTCCTGGTGGGGGGCAGGGGCCAGCTGACTCATCCAGGCCAAGGCCAGAGGACTGCTGTAACTTGCCTAGAGTCGGGATATAGGCAGGGCAGCTCCCAGTGGGCAGGCATTCCCTGAACCAGTCGGGAACCAGACAGTCGAGGGATTTCTGGGAGGCACCCACCCCGGGAGACAGGTATGTCCAAGCCCTCCTGGTGGGGACAAGGGTGCACACAGAGCTCCTGCTCCAAGTCTCGCAGAGGACCTTGGGGACCCAGGATGGAGTCTCACCTTCCTTTCCTGACCTGGGAGAGGAGGCAGAGGGAGCCAAGGTTGGCTAGGAAAGGAGGAGAAAGTCCAGGCCATTAGAGGGCCACAGTGAAGGAGAAGGCTCAGGGTGCAGGGGGAGGTACAGATACAAAGAGAAGATCCAGGGTTTGGGACTTTCACAGGGGTTTTCAAGAGAGGGCTGCAGGCCTTGCAAAAAGGTTCCACGTGCAGACGAGAGTTTCCAGGCTGCGTCGATCAGAGTTGGAAGAAGATGACAGCACCATGAAGGGATGGCAAGAAAAGCCAGCCTCCGCGCCAGCCCTGCCCTCCCCTAGGAGCCATCTCAATGGATCCCTACAGCCACCCCGGGGAGGGCTGGCAGCTCAGGGACACTGTCCTCATCTGCAATTAGGGACATCCAAAGAACTCCGAAAAATCAAACGTGGTTTTTAAAAATATGTTTATAGCAAGCCCATTTGGTGCCAAGGCCTGACCTGAACTGACACGAAGCTATTCATAGCACATTTACTCCATTTGGGGTGAAGAATCGTGTGTCTCATGGCGGCCGTATTCATGTGTTTGATCATGGGGTGTGGCCCCAGACTTCACTGAGGAGGTCACATCCCAGTTCGCACATGCTCTGTCACCTTTCTCAAACTCGGCAACTTCCGGGTTCCAAAACACATTCAACCCCAAGGATTTGGGTCAAGGGACTGTGACCTTGTGTTATTATTATTTCCATTTTACAGAGGAAGAAACTGAGGCTCAGAGGGTCATCTGAGTAAACAAGATAAAGCAGGTAAGGCGCTCAGTATGGTACCTTATATACAGTAAGTGCTTAACGAGCATTAGAAGTAGTGCCATGCGGCCGGGCTCGGTGGCTCAGTATATAATCCCAGCGCTTTGGGAGGCTAAGGTGAGTGGATTGCCTGAGCCCGCGGGTTCGGACCCGCCTGGGCAACTTGGCGAGCCCTCATCTCTACAATAAATCAAAATGAGCCAGGCGTGGTGGCACGCGCCTGTAGTTCCAGCTACTTGGAAGGCTGAGGCGAAAGGATCGCCGGAGCCCAGCGGTTTGAGGCTGCACTCCAGTCTGGGGGGCAGAGGGAGACTCCAACTCAAAAAAAAAAAGAAGTAGGCCATGCAAGGGGTGGAGGGCAGACATGAGGGGCGGGTGTAGACGAGGGATGATGCTTGGGGAGTGTGGGGTGTGAGCTCCGGCCTGGGGTGGCCTCCAGGTCTTGGACGAAGGCTGGGAGTGGGCAACGGCTTGTCCAAGGCTCAGAGCCTGCTCCCTCCTCTCTCTCTGCCAAACTCTTTCCAAGCTCAAGTTCCCAATCTGTCTGCTCCAGGCTGACTCTGGGACCGACCCAGAGCTCTGGGCTTCTCCAGAGACATTCTTCACATGCCTTGGGCAGCCAGCCCACCTCCTCCCTCCTTGTGGCCCGAGCCCCCCACCACCCCCGCAGCCGGGCAGGAAGGTCTGAGCACCACTCGGTCCCCAGGGCGGCCACAGCTGCCCAGGGCAGGGCTCCAGGCATCTGGGGCTGG